CGTAATCCACGCGAATACGTCCTGATTATTACTCAGGAACTCTAAAAGTTCTGCCCGCTCTTCTCCTGTGAGTTTAGTACCGATCTTCACCGTTCTCTCCGGCACATCGGGGTTTAAAGGTACCGTTTCCACTAGCTCCACTGGCTCTGCCTTCTGCTCAACGCTCTCAGGTCGATGCTCAATGTCTGATATGCTCATTGTTTGTTGACCGAGCTGGGTTGGCTTGCGACCTTCAATGCTCGCTGGGGCTGCGGTGGGCTCGACCTGCTTGAACGTGTCTTGGTAACATGCTCTAGCCATCCTCTGATTCCCTTTCAGCACTCCTACCCCCTGAGGAGTTGGGAATTTCATACAGAGATGGGGCTGTGAGATAACAACTTTCAGCTCGCACAGGGTGGCTCTTCCTAGTATGGCATTGAAGGCAGATTCCATCTTAACGATCATGAAGGTGACAGAAGCCATTCTGAAGCGCGGTTCCGAGCCCACATATATAGGAAGAGTAATAACTCCTTCAACTGGGACGAGCTGGTTATTGAATCCATATATCGGGCCGTCGTGCTTCTGCAGCAAGCTCGAATTTAGTTGCATCTTCTGGAAGCAACTCCAATACAAGATATCTGGTGAACTGCCAGTGTCAATGAACACTTTATTGATATCATCACCTGTCGGGCATATGCCTTGCGAGCTCGGGTGCTTTGGCCCCCTGAGTGAACACCACCCGATATCATGTTTATGGTACCAGAAGGTGGGGGTATCCCAGCATAACCTACCCCTTTCCTGTCTTTTTGATTCGGGGCGGTAGTTCTCGGTCCCTGTCCTCTCCTGTTGAAGGGACGTCCTCGATATGATCTGCCCTGTTCAGAAGGATAGTGGTTATCCTGATATGCATCCTGCGTCCCCCCATGCTGGTACCTCTGTCCTTGAGGTCGGTCGTACGCCTGTACAAAATGGGTTTGAGTGGGTTGTTGGGTGTGAGGCTTCTGAACATACCCTTCCAGCTTTCCGTTACGAGCCAAAAACTCTAACTCGTCCTTCAAGTGTTGGCAGTCTTCGGTATTGTGACCATATACACGGTGGTAGTCACAATGCTTGCTCTTATCTGCCCTCGGGGAGTCATGCAGTGGGGGTGGAGGTCTCCTAACCCAGTGCTGAATTTGTGCAAGGATTCGAGACCTAGGTAAGGTCAAAGGAATGTAACTGGCATATTTCGGGAACTCAGCTGGCTTCCCCCATTGCTCATTGACCTTCTGCTTCTTCTTCTCTTCTCTTCTCGGTTGCTGTTCCTGGCCTTTGCTCGGCTTATCATCAGCTCGTCGCTTGGACGACTGAAAGTCCTCTGACAGTATGAAGCTGGCCGACCTGTCATTCACCTCATTCCACGTCTTCGGTGGGTTTTCAAGCAGGTCGTCTAGGAACCGGCCACACTTCAACCCATGCAACAGGGCAGACAAGCAAATTGTGTCTGGGACATTATCAATGTCCAAGGTGGCTTTGTTGAACCGCTGCATGTAATCCCTCAAAGACTCCCCTTCCTTTTGGTTAACTTGCATCAGCTCGGTTGCTGTACGCTTGATCTCCCTTTGGCTCGCGAATTTGTTAGAAAACAGCTTGGCGAGCTGGGAAAATGAATCTATTGAATGTCTGGGGAGTTTGTGATACCACCTCCTAGTTGTTGATTTTAGTGTTGCTGGGAACACTTTGCACATCATGGCATCATTGGCGTTTTGGATTCTCATGATAGCTTGATAGGTGTGCAGATGTTCATCAGGGTCACCCGTGCCATCGTATGTCTCCAGGTGGGGAATTTTGAATCCCTCTTGATACGGCTCTACCGTAATGGATAAGTTTAGTGGTGCACTATCCAAATCCAGAGTCTGTTGATGCGACCTGGGACTTTTCAGCTCGTCAATAGACTTTTGTATGTCCTGCAGCTGTCTTTCAAGATCTGCGTTCTTTCTCATCAGTTCTTCACTGTGTTTAGACGAGCTAGGCTCGATATTCAACTTCCCACTTCCCCTTGGCCTGGTCGGCACTACTATATTGCTTAGAGCGGGGGAGTTTCTAGTTGCAACAACCGCAGCTGGTTGTGCATCCCTGTTTAGCAAAGGAATCAGGGGGTCATCAGAAATTAGGCGGGCGAGGATTTTACCCATTGCCATTTCGAGAACTCTAGTTCTCTCTTCGAGCTCGGTTGTCCGAGCAGGTTCTGTTGACCTTTCAGGTCGTTCGTGCTGTGAATTGTGTGGTCTAGAAGGTCTTCGTCTTGTTCCTGTTGGAACTTGGACCTGTTCAGGCTGAGTTGCATACCCGGTTGGTGTTCTTTCATCATCCGTCTCACTTAGGTGATCCTGTTCGGCTCCTCCTACAAAAAGATTTCTTGGCATTGGCCTAAAGTCATTAAAACCGGGCTCGAACACGTGAGCATTCTCCTATTCGTCCACCTCATTCCTTGGGGGGGGACCTCCTGTAAAAGTTCGAGCCATTTTGTCTTTCAGCAGGTTAAGTTACACAACTTCTTGTTCGGTTCCCACAGACGGCGCCAATGTTTCGGCAGCTTCACAATCCAACACTGTTGAAGTCCTCAGCTGCTTCTACACCTGAAAATCCCGAGGTTGTTTCCTCGGGGAAAACACTCCGACGCTCAAGTCAGCAATACTCAGT